CCCCAAAACCCCAAAACCCCAAAACCCCAGGTGGTATGGATAGTATTGATAATAATTTTATTAGAGAACAATATGGGCTTCATAGACATTATTATTTATGTTGGAGTAATTACTTACATTACAATCGCGATTGTTGGCTTTCCGGTAGGCTTGATATTCGGAGCTATTCATTCCCATGAAAAGTATTCAGAAAGTTTGCCCCAAGTTCTGATGCATGAGCCAAGTGTCCCTTTTTTGAAGATAATTAATTCCATTGAGTAAGTACTCTCATTTGTCGAATAGCCTCTTTGGAGCATATTCTTAAATAATATAGACCTAGCCAAATGCATAACCTTGAGAGAAGCCTTCAGAGTACTGATGGTGAGTTTCAAACATTGATAAAATGTAGATTTATCGGCATGGGACAAATTCGGATTTGAGATCCTTTATATGCCGATGAACTTGACATTCTTTTTAGCTATTTTTGTTGTGGCTTTAAACTACCATCATAGCTACAGCACATGGGTGTTCAAATGGCTTGGCGTATTCATCTACATTCTCTCGTTCATTATAATCCACAGAGATTTTTCCCTGGTGATCTTCAAGATGGCTGAATATGGGTTTTATCCTCCTGTGCACATCATATTGTTCATTTATTTCTTCGTTGTTCATTTATGATCCCTATGAATTCTTATATTTGCAACAAGTCTTATTTATGACCAAGCAAAGGACATATTGTATGACACTTGAATAGATAGGAGGCCTCTTTTGGTATACTTGCTTTTGGCTCATATCATAGAAGGAGTCTGCATTATTGGGAGCTTTTACATTCATGACTACATCCAATTCATTACAAGTAATATATATGTTGTAATATGTCAGAATTTATTCTGGATGCCTCTTTTGCTGTATTCACTCATAAAAAGAAAAAGACTCAATGATGTCAGAAAAGGCTTTAAGAGCACCAAAGAATGGATTGGGACACTTTGTATCAGTGTGCATTTATCATTCACTGTGAATTATCTATACATTTTCACAGAACAAAGCCATTCGATAGGAATGAAAATCTGATACTTATTCATATTTCTTCTAATCCACATAATCCTCATTTTGCTTTACATAATCCACCAATCATTCTTCTGTGGTCTTTTTTACAGTCATTACGAAAAGCAGTACTGAAATGCTCAAATTCCTATCCGAAAACATTACTCATCTTCAGACCCTCGACACATTCAAAACCGGCATTGTGACTACTGCTTAAACTCCCTTGCAGATCCATGCTTGGAGTACCTCTCTACTGAAGAACTTCAGAGCCACATGTACAAGACTTTGACTAAAAACAAGGGGACGTACATGTCTCCCTGCTTGTTCCACATTTTCCATCCAGAATGCTTCATGAAGATTTATAAACAGCTTCATGTGTGTCCCATTTGAGATAGTGGGTTTGGCATTTTGGTTAAGTGAGAAGGGAAATATGATTATTTGGAGTAAAACAAGGGGTTGATAAAGCATTTTTGAAGGTTTTGTGAGGGATTAGGTTAAACTAGTTTTGGGATTATTTAATAATGGGGTTTTGGGGTTTTGGGGTTTTGGGGTTTTGGGG